CTTCTGGATGTCATTAAAAGTTACAAATCTTGAAGGACTTCAACTTTAGACCATGCCTCGGTTCTTTTGGGTCTTTTTCTTTACCTCTATTTAAAGACATGGGGCTTGGTCTTTTTCAAGTCAAACAAACGTGAGAATCGCACCACGATGCAGCGCATTGTGGATAAACGCAACCAAAATTATGTTGCGTGTAGACGAGGAGAAAGCTTCAAGACAATAATTTGGCTGCTCACAAAAAAAAGGTCAACCCAGGTCATTTGGCACTATGAAAACAGTCCCTAAGAAAAAAACTGAAGCTAAATTGTTGTGTGCTTAAATGACATTAAATCTCGGTGCGATGGTGAGTGAAAGAAGCCGTCAAACGTTGGTGATACTTCAAATATTCCACCTGTCGATGACGTTTAATTACTTCTATAATACCGTTGGCGTCCGGCCTGCTTCACCTCGATCTGCTGCCAAGTCACTGCTGCCTTTGTTGGACTAACCCTGAGTCTCTCTTAGCATATGTTTCTTCCCTGATGGGCACTTGGCACAAAACAAAGTCTTTGAATGTGCATTTACTGGAAGTGGCGGCTCATACCCGAGCAATATACATCACTGTCTGCATATCGGACATGGCTAACAGTGGAGTTCCTTAAACAGCTTGAATTAGTGTAGGAGTTTAAACCTGCTGCAGTTTCTTGGAAGAAACTGCAGAAGAAATACAAACATGTTTTCATTAGTAGTTTCAGAAAAATGGTTTACGCACAAGATTTTAGGCTTTTTAAATGCAAAAACTGTTATGACACAGTTGCTGTCTACTGTTCTTTCTTTCATACTGCCCAATAACAGTGTATGATACTGCATGTTTTGATATCGATCAGCGATACAATACTGATACTGATAGTTTTTAAGCTTGATAAATAATCAAACTTGTAACATTCAGGTGTTTTTGTGGTTTTCCTGTGATTTATTTTTTTGCTCAGCACCACAAGAGAATTTGAACAAAATTTACAGTGATTCACAAGATACTTTGATAAGTATCAAATCAACATGATTTGTGTGCATTTTTCCTAAATAAACAAAGTATAAAAATGTTATAATTTGGGAGCAAATTGAAACAAAGTCTTTTGGAGGTTGATTTAAGAAATTAGGATACAAAAATAAAGCAAAATTTGAAAGTAAAGTATCAATCTTGCCACACTAGTATCGATCAGATAATGATACTGACTTGGTATTGATATTATTGATATTTTGGACTGATAGTTCCACCTCTACTGCACAAATCTAAGCAGGCCAGGACTGAATAGAAATCAGATGAGTTAAAGAAGCATCTCGAGAATGGCTACCGGCTCAAATGGCACCCTCAGAAAAATTTCATAGGGGGCTATCAGTGTCAGGTTTAGGGTGACAAAATATGTGTATATGAATATAATCTGGATGGGAAAATCTGCCAACAAAACCATGCTGGGTGCACCTCTACTCATGATCTGCAAACTAGCAAAACATATCATATTAAAGTAGCTCAAATCCAAAAAGTTGATATGTTATCCAAATCCAGCTCCTTCTCCGCCTCAAATCTCATATTTAAGTATTTTTTGCTATTTTTTTGTTTATAGCGAAATAGAGAAAAGTGAGGAACATATAGCTTGGTGCACATGCTTACATATGTCAAATGTAAAATGTATTTTTGTTTGAAATGTTTGTTTCAATGAATTGAATGAATTTATCCTTTAATCATCGAAGAAATCTCAGAAACGGGCAAAATCAGAATCTTTTGTCGTAACAGGTAAGGCAGACAACACTGCTAAAACTCTGATGTGTTCACTGTTCTTAAGTGAAATAAATTTCATGACAGAAAATCCAGCTTCTACAAATACACTTCAGCGTACATTTATGCACAAATATGATCTACTCAAGCACAACGTCACGCTGTTTCAGTGTGTTTGAGCCAGGTTCAGATGTTATTTTCGGGAGAAAGAACATCTATTTGTAGATCTCCTGATCCTTTGTTTATGCCTGACACAGAGCAAAGTGCACACCAAGCGAAATACCACTCCACACAAAGCAGCCAAGTTTCAAGTGAGCTGAGCTGCCCTGATCTCACTTTTCTTTTTTTTTCTTTCTGTTTTTTCTTTTTCCTCTTCTTCCTGTTCTGGAGCAAACTCAGATCTGAAAATCTAACAAGATGGAGAACAAAAATCTCCTGTTCACAAAACCATTAAATAGCCTAGAAAATGCAAATGATTCTGAAGGGCAAAGTTACTATGTAGACGAAAAACTGGTCAAAAGAAAAATAAACTCAAGGAGTTTTTGAGACTCACTGGCTTCCCTGCCAAAAGTGAGATAAACAAAATTATGTAAATATTATGTCTTTTTTAGTTAGATTAACTAATGTGCTATGAACTGTACCCCCTAAAATTGTTTACAAATAAGATTTTATATTTTCAGCCTAATATTTTCCAATGCTCATGCAAGTCATTCCTGTTTCCGTATATCAAAATTTTAATATTTTATACAATAAATGGCCCAACTCTTCCTAAATAATCTCTGCGTTTAGTTAGTCTTTTACAAGCTCCTGCTGAAAACATTTTAAAATGTTTTCAGCCACACACTTCACCACAAAAAAGTCTTACAGACTATTGTCTAGAAAATATCTTAGTGCACTTGAAAAATGTGCTTGTTTAATGTTGATTATTCTTGAATAATGAGGTGAAGAAAAAAAATAGTTCCTCTGGTAGATTTTTTAAAAATAATTTCTAAAGAGCTAATGTTATATAAAATAAAATAATCTGCCAGTGGAACTAGTTTTTATCAATATTCAGGAGTTGTGTTGAAAACAAGCTCAGATATCTTGCTAAAGAGTTTCGTAAAAGTTAGTTTTGTCTCACTTCAAGCATCTTAAGATAATTGCACAAGAAACTAGACGAAAATACTTGGCAAGAATTTGTGTTTTCACGTTTTATGTGAAAAACCAACATTTGTGACACCTTTAAGTCAAATCCGGTATCACTCTTTGCCTTCAGAAGCCACCTGCTTAGAAAACAACCTGGCCGCAACTGAACCGCAACGTGGATCTAGATGTTCTCATGAGAGAACATGAGTGAATCTGAGCTTGAAACAGGCTCAGATTTAAACTTTACCCATTTCCACCCATCGTCAGAAAGGGGATGCAGCACGGAGCAATTGCAAAACAAGCACAGACAAACATCACAGATCACAGGACAACTATTAGCCACTATTGTCACAAGCAGCTCATTGTGGGCACAACAAGCAGGTGGTTGAATGAAACCAAAATGGAGGCTTGTGGGCATAATGACACACCATTCCCGTTATGAACCCTGGTACTGGCAGCATCATTCGAGTTAACGGAAGGATGGAAATATAAGGTAACCCTGGAAGGACTGCTAAAAAAATAACATCCTCAGAAGGACGCCATCTTTAATCCAAGATCTTAATCTGTTTAAGAAGATCCAAATGCAGTCCGCAGTAGCTTCATGCTCATCCAACAGAGCCTGAACCGCTTCGCTAAGACGAGCGTTTCAAAGTGGTTCCACAACAACGGAGGGCTGATCACAAACGGACGCCACACTTTTTGGATTTATGCTTGAAATTTAAAAAATGCTCTCCCTCCTGTGACGCTCCATTTCATCACATAGAGTCCAAGTGAAACGACAAGACGAGACTGTAAACTGTAAGACGCTGTGATTGGTCACCCACTTCCTTAAATGTAATCCAGGATTGACATTTTTGCATTAAAGTGTCACCATAGATACACTGTTGTTGTTATTATTATTTTTTTACCCTGATGCTAACTCCTCTGGCTGGTATCCCAGCATTGCGGCCAACACCTGTAAGCAAGTGCAGCTCTGCCTGGGTTCGGCATGTGTGTGTGCGTGTGTGTGCGTGTGTGTGTGTGTGTGCTGCTGGGGGTCATTGGGATCGGTTACCAGGCGACAGACTGGGCACATGTCTCCCTCATCTGGGCGCCAGTGGAAAAGCAAGGTTAAGTAAGTACATGGGTCAACACGAGAGCAGATCTGAGGCAAATCTGAGCAAAATGGACACTGTGCAGTTTTTCTCTTTTTTTTCTTTTTTTTTTTTTTTTTTTTTTTTTTTGCACAGGGGTTTGTGGAGCAATGTGAGTATTTCTCTGAAGCTCTTAGATCAGCACAGGAGCCGAGCATGCGGCGGTGCATCACGCACGCCACACTCTGATCCCCTCAGCCCCCTCACCCCACCCCGCCACACACACACACACACACACACACACACACACACACACACACACACACACACACACACACACATCTCTCCTCCTCTTCCTCCTCCTCCTCTTTCCTCCTTCCTCCTCCTGCTCTTTTATAGTGTGAGATCCTGCATTTCGGTTCCGTGCATGCGGCAGTGAGCTCTATCAAATTCAAGAATGCATTTCATCTCGACACGTGATGCATTATTTAGCTACTTTTTTTTTTTTTTACTTTACCTCCCCCACCCCTCCACCCCTCTCCTCCACATCTGGAGGGGCAGAGACCGGTGGTCACACCCCTCTCTGGAGATCTCAAATGGGACCGCTCGGCTATAATACAAACGCACACATTTCCCCTCTTCAGCGGCGGCGGATTCGTTACCCTCCAGGCTGCACAAATGCGCCTCACACACGCATACACGCAGGCATACGCGCACACCAGACACATTCTCACACACACACGCGCACGCGCGCGCCGGCCTAACCCAACAGCCGTATCAGTCGCGCGAGCTTTTGTTGTGATCTATAATGGTCGCGATATGCATCTGCCGCGAGGAGCCGCGCGGCGGTACAACGAACTTTAATGGGAGGTAAACGACACGCCGCTGCAGCTTCTATTATCGGACACGCGGGCGGAATGAGTAATAATAATTTCCACACGAAACAACAACAACAATAATGATGATGATAATAATAGTAATAATACAATTAGGGAGTGGGGGGCGTCATGCACGCGCGGCTCGAAGAGAAAAAATATCGCACTTCAACTCACCTTGAGCGGCCGTTCCTCTGGTGCTGAATACACTTGCTATCAGAGTGGCCACATACCAAATCATAGTACTATTGCCGACCAGCTATTACCACGCAAAGTGCCCCGTTCGACCAATTTCTCATATTCGACCTTGCACCTCTCGGACTCTTCGGCGCAAGCCCCGTTTTCATTTCACGGCTCTCAGTCGTCTCTCTTCTCCCCGCGGCGCTGCTTTGCCTTCATCCCTTCTTCTTCTTCTTCTTCCCTCCCCCGTCCTTCCATCCGCATCCTCTCCCGAAGAGACAGAGCACCTGCACCGCCGCGTTTGTAGTAGACACGGAGCCCGTTTTTTCCCCCCTTTTCTTCCCTCTCTCCTCCTCTCTCTCTCCTTCTCTCTCTCACACTCTCACTCTCTCCTTCTCTCTGTCTCTCTTTTACGAACGCATAGTGAAACCAAGTGTGAGAATGCAAAAAGCCAACAGGTCCGCCTCTTCCGCCACCGGATTGGTTGCCGATTGAGGCTTTGGGGCGTGTATTGGCTGTCCCCTCCGCACCCTACCTCGTTATCCCCTCCAGCTCCCCCACCCTCCTCCACCTCTCTCTTCCTCCCTCCACCCCGCATGACGAACCCGGAGGAGCGTTCCGATTCAAGGTGAGTTGGAGCGTGCCGTAGTGTAAAAGCGGGAGCCGCAGTATCATGCGCATTGCCGGCGTGCAACATCTGTACATTCCGCTCCTTTAAGTCGGGGCCCCCCCCACGTGCGCCATAGCATCTCCACAGCATCATCGTCGACGTTTTTTTTTTTTTTTCAGCTTTTGCTGGACCAGTGATGGAAGGGTGCTGATGCTGGTGCTGATGATGATGATGATGATGGTGATGGTGACTCATCCGCAGCCTTCCACTAATAGTGTCATGTCGCCGACAGAAAAGTGTTTTTATTTTTGTTTCTTTTAATATATGTATATATATTTTTTTCTTTTTTTCGCCCCCCTCCACGTCAGGCTGCGTGTGATGGGTGTGGCGACACATGCAATATGGTTTTCCTTGTTTTCTCGTCCCTCGACGGCCCCACTGCGCAGACACGGTCGGGCTGATCAGGCTGCCTCAGATTTCTTTCTTCCCGCATGGCCACTGAGGACCCCGAGGGGGCCGCCTGCTGCCGTAACTAAAACAAAACCGTGCAGGTGATTTGTCTTTTTTTTTTTTTTTTTTTTTTTTTTTTTTTTTTTTTTTGCGTATGTAGGTTAAGTAGGAGTTTTTTTTTTTTTTTTTTTTTTTTGGACTCCATACGTCTGTCTACTGTCCCCCTCCCTCGCATCTTCTTTTTTTTTTTTCATTTTGGAGATCATCTTTCCGTCTGAAATAAAACGGAATCTAAAAATGAGCCTTTGGAAAAACTAAATAAATAAATAAAAACACACAAGAAAGAAAAATCCGAGGTTCTCATTCATTCCGCTCTGTCTCTATTTCTGTTTCTGTGATAAAGTCGCATCATGAGACATTTCCAGATGTGTGAAACTGTCAGAGTCGCTAGAATCCATCACATCCGGAGCTTTAGCCGAGATTTAGTGAACCCAGTTCACCTTTAGCCAATCAGTCTTCGTTATTGGTTCCTTCTGTGAATTAAACGTAGAAGAGGCTGCAGGGCTTTTGTTCACATTTGTGATTTCCATATGCATTCTCAAGATTAAAAAAAAATAAATATATATAACATTTACAGAATATGATTCACTTTGAACATGCATGATGCCACATGAAAGAATAGAGAATAGTTTTTATTTATTTTCAAAAAATAAACGTCCTAAACACAAAACAAGAGCTGGTTCATGAAGTAGGCTATACGTGAACTCTGTGGTCACTTAAAAAATGTCAAAACATTTATTTTTAAATCAGATAAATCTTTTTTATGCATTATTGACTTTAATGCACTTTTTTGGTTCTAAAATGCTTTAAAAACAGAGTTTCTTACTTTTACATATTTGTTAAAACATGGAATTTTTTTTACCCCACAGATAATCTGTGGAAAAAGATCAAGCTCCTTTGTTTATGCCTCTCTGTGGTCTTTAACACATCGCTCAGTCAAAAACAACCAATCAGAGTCAGGAGGAGGTTCTTGGCGCTGTCAATCAAGCTGGTGTGGGAACCGCACAATGTATCAACAATGTAGAAACAAGTTACCGTTACAGGAAAACTGTTCATCCATCATCATTGACAGCCATGCTAACTGTTCTTAGCATTCACCACATGTGTGGGGAGCTAGCTGTAGCCTAGCAAGGACCAAAAGTGATGACAGTGCTGAGACTCGGCTCCCTGCTCTGTTGCGGCTGTTTCTGACCAGGTCCTTTGATTCTGCAGATGGCAGTAGGATTACAGGGAAGAGGCGGTCAACCTCGATTTTTGGTTCCAAAAACGATCTCTTCTATCATATCGTCAGTCACAGTTTTAACAAACACGTAAAGAATATTTTGTTTACAAATGTTACAACTTTAAGCTACTTTTTATGGTCGTGAAATACATTTAGCTCCAAAAAATAGACTTCATATAGATCAGCACTCAACAGGTTTGCTTTTTACTCACATTTTAAGGAGCAACTTAAAGTCAAGAATAATTTGTACCAGTCCCATTAAACCATAGAGAAATTTCTATTTACACTAATGCAATCAAACCTATCTGCTTCTTTGAATCTTTCCAATTGACTTTTGATGGCTTATCATTGACGATGAGGTAAAAACAAGAAAGAAACCTTGTCAACCCGTTAACTGATTCTCTATCGGGGTCACACTGGGACTTCGGCTGAGTTACTCCATGATCTTCATACTGGAGTAACTCAGCCAAACTCATACAAATATGCTGGCGGTGTAGGGGTAGGAACTGAAAGGAATAGTTCAATAACAATAACCAGAAAAATCAAAACAACAAGACATTTAGAAAAACAGCAGAAACTAGCAGTATCGTCGTTGTCCTTTGCTTTTATTGTACGTTATGTTTCTCGAACGCAGCAGTGTTGCCTTGCCGTTTGGAGAAGTCTGGGAACAGCTCCTCTCAAACAAAACCACCAAGTGGTTTTGGTTTAGCTTCTACTGCAAATAAATTAGTAGATTTGAAATAAGGCAAAACTGACTCACAAGCAACTTTTCAACAAGGCATAGGAGCTTATTTTAAGCAAAGAATTTCCTAATATTGATGGAAACTTGCATGTTCCATTTGGCAGATGTCGTGAGAAAAATGTCTGAACATAAAGGAAATCCTGCGCCAATGAAACAAGTACTTTTTAAAAGCAAATGCTAAAGAATGATATGGCTTAAAACAAGCTGGCGTGACATGCGGAAAAGTTACTTGTGAGTTAGTTTTGACTTATTTCAAGTGTGCTAAGGTATCTGCACGAGAAACTAGACCAAAAATACTTGGCAAAATTTTGTGTTTTTGCAGTGCGACGCCATAGGCAGAATTTCCATCCACCAGATTTTTCATCATCATATTGCTTATGTGATGTTTCTTCCATGACTGTTCTCTCACTCCCCGTAGAATTTGATCTCGTACAATCCAGGTCGGTGGGGTTTAGGAAGATAAAACCAGTTAAGATAATCTGTTACGTAACTCTTGGAGTATTAGTTGTAGAGCCATTTGGAGGGGTATGAAATGTCTTCAATATAAAGCTCTTCCATGTCAAAACATCCTGAGAAAAAAAACCATTTTGAGGGGTAAACCTTTTACTGCCTTGGGAAATAGGAGATTAAGACGTTTTCTAAGGCAAAGCTCACAAAGATTTCAGAGAAACATGCTGCCACGGAGGTAGCGGTGTGAGTGTCGTAGTTGGAAACACATGAAAATAACCCTGCTTTGTTATTTTCCTGCCCCTTCTCTCAGCCTCTTTAATCATCTCATGACTGCATTGATTTGTCTTGTGACTCTCAGGCCTTGGTTCTGACTTTGGGAACCAGCAGAAACCACTGACTGGCTGGCTCCACCCTGCACCTGCTGCAGCAAATCGCCGAAGTACAAATCAAGTGATTGCTTCCTATAAAACGGAACTTTAATCTGCAGAGAGATATGTAAAGTAAGAAAGATCATTTTTATATGGCATCTTTGACAGATTACAAAAAATAAAAAAATAAAAATACAAAAAAGGCAAAGTGCTTCACAAAAGACCAAATTAAAGTATGGGATCTGGGAGGCAGTAAAACCAAAGATAAGACAAGTCACTGGTCAAGCTGTGAGGAAAAGCAAAGACAATCACACCATCATTTCAAAAATATTTTCTACGTTTAAAGGGGCAGTATTATGTACTTTCCAGTCACACAGTATCATTTTATAGAACAATCAAGTAACTATGTTACCTTCAGTTGTTATAAAAATATATCAAATATGCAGGATGTGACTTCATAATTTAATATCTTGAAAACGGGCCTCTGTCTCTTTAAGAGACTCCTGCTCTTTCTGAAACTCTGCCTCCAATAAGTCATCACAACGTCGCTCTTCTGTTAACCCTTTAATAACGTTTTTACCAGCGTTACACGGAGAAGTAAGCCGTATAAGAAGCACAACAGATGCGCAGTTCCACCAAGGGTTGTGCTAATTGCTCCTGGCTAGTCTGAAGGAGCCGAGTAGGGAAGTGCCTGCAGCTCAAAGGATATTTCAAACATGCATGAAAGAATAAAAGCAATACTCCAGATGTGTTTTTAATGAGAAAATAACATTATAACATGATGTAAAGCTCAAAAAGTCAATTTTTACAAAATATTGCCCCTTTCGAATGTCAATTTCTGCACAATTCACTAATCATAAAGCCTCTGATGGGGAAAATATGCGTAATTAGAACACAATAACCTAATTATAGAAGTGCACACACACCTGAACTTAAACTTGGCTTTTGCACATTTAATTCAGTTTCAGCAATACGTTGCAATAACATTCCTCAGTAAAGAAAAACAACAAAACAACTACATTTAAAGGTGGTTTCACAAAACTCTTGGTTTAACCGGGTTAAACCAGGTTATTAATATTTAGCAACACTTTAATTGAGTTAGAAATATTTCATTTGGGGGTGCTGTGGTGACGCTGTGGTGGTTCAGCAGAACCATATGGAGGCCTTAGTCCAAAACACGACTATCGCAGGTTCGATTCCCGGCCTGGCGACCTTTGCTGCGTGTCTTTCCCCTTTCTCTCTTTGCTGTCTATTTATTGTCAAATAAAGGCCACTGGAGCCAAAAAAAAGAGATAAATATTTAATTTCCCTTTGGGATCAACAGAGTAATTGAATTGCAGATGTGTTTGCTTTTTTTTGAGGGCAGGTAAACTTCCACATGTTCTCTATTTATCAACAATAATGAAGCCTTACGTCAGCTTTCGGTGCATAAACATCTTCTCAAAAAGACATTTCACTTCCACTCATCTCTCAACCTTCTTTCAGAGCACAGGAAGGCAGGTTATTGACCACCACATGCTGTCAGAGTCAGACGATTCCAACATTTCTGACTTTATTCTGATGTCCTTGTGAGTCCGTCCTCCCCGACCAAAATCAGTCAGTCCGCCTGCAGCGCGCTGTGAGCCGCCCGCTCCACACAGCCTGCGGCTCAACACAT